TGCGGAGCGGCTGGGCCCGTGAGCCATGGCCACTGAGCCTGCACGTCTGGAGGCTGTGCTCCGCAATGGGAGAGGCCACAGCAGTGAGAGGCCAGTGTACCGCAAAAAAAAAAAAAAAAAAAAAAAACTACATTAGACCCTTACTATGTACTATACATTCATTACATATACATTCAAGAGAGATCCTTGACTCCCCAGTTCCATGGAACACATTTTATCTTTTTTAAATAGATCAGAATTTTAGGCTTTCCTCTGCCTCAGACATTTAGAGAATATGATGAATGTTGTAGATCCTCTTCCTTCCCAGAAAACACATAGATCTGAGGAACTGCTTTATCCAAATCTCTACTCCAGGCTTTCATATTGAGTCATCATTTCCTTAGACCCCTTTATTTTCCTTCAGCTTACATCACTGATAGCATCACGCAACCCCGGATAACTTAAGTAGAAAAGGAGATTCAGTAGCTCACATAATAAGACAGCTCAAAGGGCAAACTAGCTTATGCAAAACTGAATCCAGTGGATTACATGGTCAGCGGTACTCATTCTTCATCTCTAGCAATGTTTTTTTTCTGTGTTGGCTCCATTTTCAGTGAAGTGATCTCCATAGGCTATCAAAAATGGTCCCTGGTAGTGGCAGACTCTATACTCTTGCTCTCACAATTTCAGAGGAAAAGAGAATACCTCTTTCTTGATTATATGAGCAATATTTGGGGGGAAGACCCAGATTGTAATGACTTGGATCTGGTGGATATCCCAGACTCAAGTCACTTCGGCCAGAGAAGAGAGTAATCTGATTGGTTAGGCTGGGTTATGTGCTCACTTCTGTGGGAAAAAGGCAGGCGAAGTGATTGACAGCTCCAATGGGTTTGGGTCAAGGATTCAAAAAAGAAAGGAAGAGGAGGAGGAATAGGTTGAGATGTAGTTGTGCCTTAGTGGTGATAGCGATAATTTTTGATAGCAAAGGGGCCACACAAGCGGTCTGACAAGTTGTGACCCATATTTGTAACTAGTTCTCTTTATGTCTGAAACAGAGAGGAAAGACATGCAGCTGGACAAAAAAGGGAGGAAGGCAACACTTAGAAATTAACCTCTGCCATTGACCTGATTCATCCAGGTGGTTATTGCTGTTTCTGAGTCTCTGCTACAATGAAGATATTTCTAAGGTGGGAGTATCTTTCAGTTTCTCTCATTTTGCCTTTTAGGTGGACAAAAAAATCGTAAGAACTGAGATAGGAGTTCTTCTTCGCCTCTCACATCCAAACATTGTAAGTGGTTTTTGGCCTGTTATTTCAAATAATCTCCAGTGTTACAGGATGAGATTTTTGTTCTTTACTGTCCATTCTGATGATGAGAAAGGGATTCTTCCACCTCCAGTAAGTAGCCACCTTGGCCTAGCTCTTGTCCTTATCTGATCCCGTTTTTCAATTCTTTTTAACTGAATAAATCTTAAGAATAATACCCTTTGAAAGAGTTGCAAAATCAGCAATATATACCATTGATTGTTTTCATGCATAAGAGGATAACTAAAATTGGAGAGTCTTTTTCCCTTTAATAAGACACTGGCTTTTTTCCTTTTGTGGGCCTATCTTATTAATATGCCATTGCTGAAAACGCCTGTGAAGAAAATGCATTGCTTTCCATAGTCATTTCACTCTCCTTTGAGAGAGTATTTGCTTCAGAGACAATGTGAAGATTCAAATAAATAATGTACTTGAATGGGGAAAATAAAACGTCCTCCCAAGCTCTGCTCTAGGCTATGTCCAGACAAAGGCACTGAGGGAAAGAAGGGCTGGGGAGAAGCTTTCTTGAGCCAGTGAAGTGAAAAGAACAAAGTCATTTTCCAGACCATAACTTGTTTCTATAAATTGAGTCACTTACTTAAAATATTTTACTCATTTCTCTGAGAAAGTTGTCGTGTTCCCGAGGATGACCTGCAATGCTTAGGCTCAAGGCAAAGTGCTTAAAACTTGTATATTAGTTAGCAATGCACTCAGCTGTAAATAACAGAAAACTTGAATATGGTGGTCTAAACAAATATTTTTCTTATGTTTTAAGAAATCAGAAGGCAGGCAGTTTTTAACACTCATTCACTTCCTCAGTGATGCCATCCAGGACCCAGACACCTTCCATCCATTGGTTCGCCCATCTTCAGTGCACTGGCTTTCACCTTCATGCTTTTCCCTCATGGTCCTAAAATGGCTGCTCCACAGTGTTCACAAGTCTTCAGGTCTATATTCAAGACAGAAAGTAGTGGAAAGGCTTAACGAGCAGAGTCTGATGAGAAGCGTAAAGGCTTTTTCCAGAATTTCCAGCTGCAGTAGAATTCTCTTCAGTTTGTGGCCACAAGATGTGGTCACAAGATCACCCTAAACTGCATGGAGACTGAAAAATTAGGGAGTAGGGTTATCATGAGTGGCCTAGACCAAACATAATCCATAATTTAAGGCTAGGTACCTTGCTTCCCTAAACAAATCAGGGTTCTGTTTGCAGTGAAGTAGGGGGAGAAGGGCTTTGGGTAAGCAATTAACAAAATTTACCATATATAATCACCACTTTTACATTATCCGTCTTATTTCTTTCAAAGAGAAGTCAATATGGAATTTTCCTCAAATATAGATCAGTCCTGGTCACTAGATTCTCAGAAGGAAAATATCCAAAATTGGATAGATTATCTGAATGTGATGAAAACGCTGTTATGGTCAATCAAATCACTATCACTGTTACTTTTCTGAGTATCCTTTCATCTACCAGCAACTTTTTAGCTGTTAAAGGGATTCCCTTTCCCTACAGACAGACTTTAACCTGGTCCTGTTCTGTCTCAGACCCCTAATTGAAGTCCCTTTCTAGGAGAAAGAGGCATTTGCATCTCTATCAACCATGATGCTTTCAAATGGTTTAGGAAGTTTTGTTTGCTTCTGGTTTTTTTTGTTTGTTGTTTTTTTTTTTTTTTAATTCTGTTGAAATGCAGAAATTGGGATGATTCGGCAAAATTTAAGAATCATTTCTAGGGCAGGTATCTTTCAACTATCAAGATGAAAAATATAAAAACTCAAAAGGACCTTTGAAGAAATTAGGTAACTGATAAAAACAACCAGAGAGTGACAAATGACTGCCTGGTACTAGAATAAGGAAGCTTTTTTAACCATGATCCAACATATTGCTATTACAGAGAGTGCTGTTGTAGCCATAATTTTAACTATTTCCTAGAAACTTAAAAATAAAGAATTTGTGATTTTTTTTTATATCTTTTCCCAGATAAAACTTAAAGAGATATTTGAAACCCCTACAGAAATCAGTCTGGTCCTAGAACTCGTCACAGGGGGAGAGCTGTTTGACAGGTGAGTAGGTCCTGGCAATGTAACCACAGTAAGGTTTTGCTTCCAGTCACCAAAAATAACCAAAAGGAAATTTCTCCTGAAATTTTTCATAATGACATATTACACCAGTTGATAACTTCTACTAAAATAAATCTTAAAAGGAGTGTAGGGGCTTCCCTGGTGGCGCAGTGGTTGAGAGTCCGCCTGCCGATGCAGGGGACACGGGTTCATGCCCGGGTCTGGGAAGATCCCACATGCCGCGGAGCAGCTAGGCCCTTGAGCCATGGCCGCTGAGCCTGCGCATCCGGAGCCTGTGCTCCGCAACGGAAGAGGCCACAATAGTGAGAGGCCCGCGTACCGCAAAAAAAAAAAAAAAAAAGGAGTGTAGAATGGAAAGAGTGTGATATTTGATAAGATGTGGGTAGACTAAAATTTGGGATGCTTAGTGAACAAAAATAGAAACATTGTACTATTTACTTCTGCAAACATTTACTTCTAGATAAAAAGCAGAATTTCTAAAGTCATACTAAATCTAAACTAAATAGTAAGATTTATGAGAATATTTTGTGAGAAAATGTTCAATGAGAATTATAGAAAGTTAAACATGTATTATAATAGTATTCTTTATTATGATCCAAAAGCCATAAAAATCAATTCTCTCCAAATGATTGTTTCTAGGCCTACTTTCTTTGTTAGGCTGTGTAAAGAGTTCCAAGTTGCAGAGAAAAACATGTTCTGTTATAGCCAATTATAGCCAATTTTAGTTGTCTGTTCATATGTTCATCACTCAAGGCAGAGGTTTGAGGATGGCAGGGAGTATTTCTGGAAATCTGGTAGAGCATAATATAGGCACACTATTTGTACAAGAGACACACACTTTAAGCTTCCATAGCTTTCCAACCCTCCTTATCTTCTTTGAATTCCCTCTTTGCCCTGATGGGCAGCTCTTTGCTGTGCTGAACAGGGTAATTAAGCAAGAATGGAATTGGAAGCAGACAAAGAGACTGAGTAGGTATATATCAGAAATGGTAAGAAACTGCAGTTTCTGTGATGTAAAGGTTTTGTTGGTTGAAGAAAGGGTTAAGAGAGAAGCGGACTAAAGACAGAAGCCAGAAGAGAGGTTGATGAACTGCTAATGTAGCATGAGTGCCTGGAGCACAGTAAATTCTCAATAAATATTTGCTGCATGAATGAGTAAGCAACTGCTACAATGAATGGACTCTGAGGAGAAAGATACCTAAGGGTTTAGAATGTGTTAGGAGAAGAGCGTGCCTCCCCTTCCTCCCCACCCCTACTCCACCCAGTTAAATTTACTGCCTCTTTAAGAGCTTCCAAAAGTCTTCATATTGGTTTTCAAAGTTCCTTTCTGCTTTTAATGTTACCCAGTGCAGATTTGGATCTTCAGATAGGAAGGAGCAAAATGGCCTTGATTGGAGCTACATATGTATCTTCAACATTTTGTTCATATGTATATTAAAGTTTCCTTAGAGCAAGTTATGTGAATTTATCAGATTTTAAAAATTGGAGCATTTAAACTATATTCATTCTTTACAAATAAATGAATCACCTGAGGGAAGTAAGCATAGGTAGCCTAGACATATATTGATACTTCTTGTGGTATTTGGCTCATAGTCAGTTGGACTCACGGTTTTAAATCCTGACTTAAGGAACAAATAACTAACATAGAGCGGTTTGCTTAACTTCTCTGAACCTCAGAACAAATTTGAAGCTGTACTATGATCCTAAGGAAGCTGAGACACTCTGATCCACTATAAGGATAGCCTTATCCTAAAACTGTCATGTTCCCATATGCTTAGTCAAGACTCTTCTGGACTAGTTTATTTGAATGTTGCCTAAATTTGCCAATAATTGGTCCTTTTTCAACACCTTTTTAGCTGACTTCTTTCATGGACATATTCCTTCTTTAGGTACATTAACAGAGTCAAATTATAGTTAGATCCTGCTGGCTCTAGAGCCGTGAGATCTTCCTAATGAAAACTTACATATTTCTCTGCTAATTATGGTCTAACAGAGAAAAATCTCCTGTTCTTTGTAAATAATTGCAGGACAGGAATTTCACAATGAAGTTGTCATCTACCAATGGCACTTACTATTTACCTTCTAACCTCTGTTTGTTTAAATCATTTTGGAATCAGGAGTCTCTTTCCTTCCCTTCTCCCCAGCCTTTCTGGTTCTCTCATCTTGCAGTCTAGTTGATTTTGATGGAATAGAGTTAATTCAGCTATAGATAAGAGTGAAAAACTAAATGCTGTTGATAAATTTCATGTATAGTGATAAATGGATGAAATATTCGGATTTAACAGAGGACATCTGAAGAATGGCAGGCAGCCAGTAGAGCACTCAACTATTCTATAAACTCTTAGTGGTCGTAGATAATAGACTTTTTTCCCCCGAATGTTGTTGTCCACATATCTGTTGCCATTAAGTTACTTAATTCTACAGTTATCTTTAAATTTGAATCAAACTGAAAATATATCCTGCATTATTATCCATTTATTTCTTTCTTGAGAGTTAAAAATCAAAATATGGTCTCTTTTCCTGTACTTAGGTCAAAAACCAAACATTTAATTGTAATGATAGAAATTCATTTCTGGTCTAATGATGACTCTAATAGTATCTAATGAATGAACTAATGGAGCAACTGATGAACCGATAATTATGTTAGTCCACTATAGTCAAAATGGTTGTATTTTATTAACAAAAGATCTGTCCTATGGTGCTCCTAAAAACCGAAACATGGTAAATCCAAGTGGAATCTGCTGTTTCATGTAGAGTATGAATAGTAAATTGCATAGGACAATGGATTACAATTTTAGGGATTAAAATCAGTGATATTTTGTGTCCAAGATAATCCCCCCAAAAAATTTCCACAGAATTACGATATCATGGAAAAACCTCCAGAACATTTTCTGTTCCGTCTCAATCTAGTCACAATTCTTATAAATTTATTGAACTTTTTAAGTGGACAAGTTCTGAGGTTGTTTAAGAGTAAATTTTCAAGTAGTTTTTTTCCAGAAAATGATTGTATTTTAAGACAACTAATTTAGCAGTGTCCTTCTGGTCTTCTAATTAAATTTTTTTAAAGATTAGGGGTTTTTTTTTCTGATTTTTGTCTAACTCCAGTATCAGAATATCTTGTGAATTTTTAATTGTCTTTTTTTTTCTGTTTTCTCCTTGTTTTTTTGCTTGCTAGATTATGTGTGTTCAAATGCTAAACATTATGTATAAAAGGTTTTAGAATTTGAGGCTTTAAATGTTGTTGCCTTCCGAAAGAGCAGATTTTATTTTGCTCTAGCAGGCAGTTAAGGTAAGGAACAGATCACTTTAACCTAATCAGGCAGTGGACTGATTCAAAGCTGGGCTTCCTGAGGGTGGATCTATTTCTTGTCAACTGTTACTCATAGGGTTTTGCTCTTTAAGGGTCCCAATTTAAGCCAGGGGATTTTGCCAGGGCCCTCCTTCCTTGACAGACAGACCCTAAATGCCAGCTTCTGTTCCCTCTACCCTGTGAGATGGCCCCATCAGCTACTGATTTAGAATCAGTAAATGCTTTTAAAGGGAAAGCATAGGCATCAGGTATCAGGTTTGCTTTTCTGGGTTTTTCTTCTCTTCTAGATCTTGGCTCCTAAAGCCTTAACTTCCTTGGTAACTCTGAGATGTCTTCAAATATACTTTAAAATATATTTTATTTAGCTTGTTTTCATTGTTCTTGGCTGTACGCTTGTCTACCCCACCATTACTGAGAGCAAAAATTCAGTACATGTGGCTTTAAAAGTTCTTTCACAGACACTAGTGTGTCTTCCTCTTTTATGTCAATCCTTTGGGGCAAGCAGATGAAGAGCATTTTCCCCACTATACAGATGTGGAAACTGAGAATGAGTCAAGGTAAATGATCTTCCCCAAATAGGCAGCTGGTGTGTCTTTTCGTCCAACTCTTCCTCCTCATGTGGCCTCACTGTCTTTCTTATTAAATCCTGTTAGCACCTTTTAAATCATTTCCAAGGGAATAAACTATTGTTTATTGTGTTTATGGAGAATCCCTGATGTATTGGTTGGTCCTATGCAAAACTGTGTATGATTTAACTCACTCAATCACCCTTCATGTTTTTCTAAGGCATTATTATCCCCATTTTTTTCAAGAACAGCAACTGTAGAAATTGATAAGTCATAAAGTCAGGCCTGAAACTCACATCTGTCTGACTACAAACTTTCTTTTTTCATTTCCCAAAAGTGAAAATATTCTCTTTCCAAACAACAGGCCATCAACATGCAGGAGAAGTAGTGCTTATGTTTGGGGATTATGAATTTACTCCATTAATTACCTGACAGAGTCCTATTATATCAGTCCTAATAGTCATTTCTACTTCAGCATTCCTGGGTCTGTTACTCTTGGTGGAAGTAAATGGAATTTTCAGGACATTGTCATTAGGAAAAGATTCTAGAAATGGAACTTAGGTCTTTTCTCCAGTCTCCATGGAGTTGTGTCAGGGTTGGTATTCTTGTTAACCAAAATCAGAACACATCTGAATTTGTGAAGACTATTGTGTCAAAAATTAGTCATTAACGTAATTGTCTAAAGTGAAGACCTATAAAATCTTATTGTCTAAAAGGATAATTGGTCACTATAATGAGGGCCATTTGTGAGTGCCTTTTGGGGTCCTGGCAGTGGCAGGGCATTTTGCTAACCATGATCTCATTTAATCCTCACAGCAACACATATACAAGGTAGACCTTGATATATACATTTTGTAGACCAGATAACTGAGCATCAGTGTTCCGTTAACTACCATTAGGTCACTCAGTTTACATTGGATCTAATAATTACAACAACAATAATTAAATGAAACTGGACTCAAGTACATTAGATTCCAAAGCATATGATTTTTCTACCATGCCGTGCTGCTGCTATGTAAGCAAATGTCAGTACTCTTAATACTTAAAAATAAAACTTCAAATTAGTAATGTAACAGTTTGTTCTGCTTAAGTGTTGGCTTAACTTA